TCCGGCGAGCTTCCCAGCGAGTTTTCCGGCGATTGTCGTTGTGTCTCTCCCTTTCCTCAGCTTCCCAGTGATATCTCCTTACTCCTCTAGGTGTGTTTCTCTATTTTTACTATTGAGTTGTGGAGGATTGATATTTCGGGTTTAGGTAAGGCAATTCGGGGATTGGGTTTTTGCTAGAATGAATTCGGTAGGCCTACGGTCTTGCCTGTTATTTCGATCCTACATTGGGTTCTTTTAACTTAGTTGCCCTACCGAGGAATGTCTGGAATGATGGGTTATCGTGCTTAATGTGTAAATTGATTGTGCGGTGGTTGCTGGCAGCATGTGTTTATGATTGTACCACTTAGAGCCTAGTTTGCTGTCCGGATTTGTTATCCGAGGGCTCCAAGTGCGTTGAATCGTGTGTGGATGGTGAATGGTTTTGACTGTTTTCCTCACTTGGGGCACATAGTCCACTGTCCGAATTTTATGATTCGAGGGCCCCGAGTGCGGTTCATTGTGTACTCACCATTGACAAGATTCCATGTATGTTTTTTTTGCCTTTTGGTTGCAGGACCATGAACACCTACATGAACATGCTCGATCATGACCAGAGGAAGACTCTGCGGGACATCAGACACCGCAAGGTCTATGAGCACCACTACCTCAATTTTGAGGTCTTCGCAGAGCTGGGTGCTCGCGAGGCAATGGAGGTTGAAGTTCGCGCCTACTCCTGGCGCCGCCTCCTTTGCCTTGCTGAGCCAATTTATCACGAGCTCCTATGGGAGTTCTATGCCACCTTCGTGCACTTTCAGACCTGAGTGGGCGCTCACGGAAACGCCATCAACTTTAGGCTTGGAGGGAAGTCTTATTCCCTCAGCTATGATGACTTCTGCCGGGCCCTGAGGCTTCTTCCGCCATTTGCTTGCCAGCTCACAATGGAAGAAAAAGAATCTCCTATCTTCCGGGACCAGCGTTTCTTCGAGAGGATCTGCCTCCCGTAGTTCGCAGGCGCTGTGTTCACACTGGGTTCGACCACCGCTACTCAGCTGCGCCCAGAGTGGCGCATCCTTAACCAGCCCTTGGAGAAATCCTACACCCCCAACACTGGCTCAGCAAGTCATCTCCAGCTTCGCACCTTGCATTGCCGGCACTCAATGAGCCAAGAGGAAGACAATCTCCACTTGGTCTCTGTCCTCGCCAGGACCATCACCAAGGCTTCTCTTTGCGGTCGTGCTCTTGCTTGTGGCCCGGTGGTCACTACCTTGGCCTGGTACTGATGCAATATAAGCTGACCTCTGCACCGGTGTTGGCACTACCGACCAGCGGTGGGGAGTATTCCATTTATAGCGATGCATCCTACCAAGGCTTGGGTTGTGTACTGATGCAGGATAAGAAGGTGATCGCCTATGCCTCGAGGCAGCTACGGCCCCATGAGGTGAACTACCCCACTCATGACCTGGAGTTGGCAGCAGTGGTCTTTGCCCTAAAGTTATGGAGACACTATCTCTACGGTGAGATGTTCACCATCTTCACGGATCACACAAGCCTCCAACACTTGACTGATCAGAAGGAGTTGAACATGAGGCAGAGAAGGTGGATGGAGCTGTTGAGCGATTATGACTGCACCATTAAGTACCATCCGGGAAAGGCAAATGTGGTGGATGACGCCTTGAGCAGGAAAAGGGAGAGCCCTTTACCGGAGTTGGTCTCTTTGAGGGCCATGAACGTGGAATTGGAGCTAGAGGAGGTAACAAAGTTGCTAGCAACTTTGAAAATTCGTCCTATGCTACAGGAACGAATCAAGGAGAAGCAGAGTGAGGATTTGGAATTAGAGAAGTACTAGAAGCAGGTGTTAGAAGGGAAGGACACCAAATTTGAACTGGTAGATGGGGTACTAGTGTATCAAGGAAGGCTGTGTGTCCCAGATGTTGACAAGCTAAGGAAGGATATTCTGGATGAGGCTCACTCCGCACCCTATGCAATGCACGCTGGGGCTATTAAGATGTATCGTACCCTCAAGGAGCATTTCTGGTGGCCCGGATTGAAGAAGGAGGTAGCTACACATGTCTACCTATGCTTGGAGTGCCAAATGATCAAGGTTGAACATCAAGCTCCAGTCATTGAGCACCTATTGTTGGAGATCCCGCAATGGACTTAGGAGAAGATCACCATGTATTTTGTGTATGGTTTACCGAGGACCCCAAGGGGAAATGATGGAGTATGGGTGATTGTGGATCGCTTCTCGAAGGTGGCTCATTTTATACCCATCAAGTTCAAGCCAGGGCTAGAGGAGCTTGCTAAGCTGTATGTGAGGGAGATAGTGAGATTGCATGGAGTTCCACTTAGTATCGTGTTTGATCGCGACCCTAGCTTCACTGCACGATTCTGGGTGAGTCTTCAAAAGGCAATGGGCACTAAAGTCCACTTCTCTACCGCATACCACCCCCAGACAGATGGGCAGTCAGAGAGGACGATTCAGACACTAGAGGACCTGTTGAGGGCGTGTGTCTTGACCATGGAAGGAGCTTGGGACGAGTATTTGCCTCTAATGGAATTTGCTTACAACAACCAGTATCACAGCTCGATACAAGCAGCTCCATATGAGGTATTGTATGGGAGGAAGTGTCATATACCATTGCACTGGGATGCAGAGGGCGTGCAACAGCTAGAGGGTCTGGAGATGGTACAGAAAGCAGTGGAGAAGGTGGAGTTGATTCTCCGGAACTTGAAGGCGGCTCAGGACCGGCATAAGAGTAATTCCGAGAGGCCAGGGAACCCACGAAGTTATGAAGTGGGGGATATGGTATTCCTAAGGGTGTCCCCTTGGAAGGGAGTGATGAGATTTGATAAGAAGGGAAAGCTTAGTCCGAGATATATCGGGCCATATGAGGTGTTGGAGCGCATTGGACCTTTAGCCTATCGACTAGCCTTACCTCCTAGCCTATCTAGGATCCACGACGTTTTCCACGTCAGCATGCTAAGGGCGTATGGATCCAACCCGGAGCATGTGATCAGACACGAGGACATCCAGTTGGAAGATGATTTGACCTATGAGGAGGTTCCAATCCAGATTGTGGACAGGCAGGAAAAGGAGTTGAGGAGGAAGAAGATTTCCATGGTAAAGGTGTTATGGAGAAACCAGGGCAGCGAGGCTGCGACTTGGGAGACAGAGAGTAGCATGAGAGAGATGTACCCAGAGTTGTTTTTTGGTGTTTAGATCGTTAGTGGGTGAACTTCTATGTACTCTCACTTTTAGCACTCTTTTTAGTTCCCATTGCTCGATTTATAATAAGACCTGATGGTTCAGTCCGGTTTCACGATAGCTACCAACCCAGTTCAACCTACAATTTTGAGGTCGAAATTTCTTAAGGGAGAGGGAAATGTTATATCCCAACAAGCATCGTTCCTTCGAGTACAGCGTTAAATCGTTCAAGTGATTGCCCTATCGTTCAAATTTCGGGGACAAAATTTTTATAAGGGTGGAGGAAATGTAACACCCCGAATTTTGGGTTACGGTTCGACCTTAATACGTGATCGGTTGGGTTAAAAGTTGCGTACTAATAGTTGCAATCGCGGATTAGTAGTAATAATAATAATTATTATTATTATATATTAAAAAAAATTTAAGCTAAGCGACGCGGGGCCGAATGGAGAGGGCGGCCCTCTCCTTTTTCCCCAAGTTTCCCCCAGCCGCCTATTCCTTTCCCAGAACCCCCCAGAACCTTCGTCCCAATTTCCCCAAAGACCCGCCCCAGTGCTTTGCCCAAATCGCCGCCATCTCCAATCCCCTCTCCAAGATTTTAATATGCACCGCCGCCAGCAAATAGTCCCAGCCGCCTCCCTGCTTCTTTTCCCCAAGCAAAGGAACGCAAAAGGAAAGTAAAACCCTCGGCCGCGCGTTCAACTCCTCAAATCCCGCCGCCTCTCAATTTCCCCAGAGTAGAAGAATCAACCGCCACCACCTGTGACCGACCCAGATCCCGATCCCTTTCGTGTTTCTAGGTAAGGATCACGAAACTCTTCGTGGTTTCTAAACTCGATCGTTAGACTAATTCAAAGCTCGGGTTTTTATTAGCGGTGACGTTGAGGGTTCGGTCAACGAGGAGATCAACGTCCCGGGTCATCCAATCTAGGCCTAGGCACGTTCTAGAGGTAAGGGAACTCGATCCCTTTGAATTAGGTCGTTTAATTTGGTGAAATTTCTTGATGGTGCAATTCTGTGGTTTTAGCAACAAGCGATCAGGCTTTTAGTGACAGGGTTTGGGTGGTCACTAAAGCTGCAGGGAATTTTCAGAAAATTTGTTTTAGATGGTTTAAATTGTTTTGAGTCCTTAGGGGAGTGTGATCTTGAGTTTGAAATTTTTATAAATTGAGGGAGGTCCTTGAGATGGCTGTAATGTAATTTGGGTATTTTTGAAGATGTATTTTTAATTTTAGAAATTGTTCGAACATTTGCTTTAATTAAATCAAAATAATTCCGAGGATTTTATAAGGATTTGATAATTTTCCAGGGTATAAGTACTCATGATTGATGTAGGAAAATTATGATCCGAATTTTTAAGAAGGTTCAAGTTAAGTGGAAAATTCGTCCAAGACTAAAATAATTAGGAAAAGTGGTCGGTTTTGAAGAGGCTGTATTTAGAAAAAAATTTTAAGGGGGTTAAGAGACCTTGGGAGCGAGTCTCGAGGACTGGATGTCGAGGAGAGGATGTTCTAGTGATCCAAAAGGGATTTCTAAATCGAGAAAGATCGACTAAGGAGATGACTTTCTAATTAATAGGTTCGCCGAGATAATTCGGCTAGGAGGGATTTCTTCGAATAAAGAATCGAGGAGTCAGGTTTTTAAGGTGAGTGTAAAGGGGGTAAATTCTACGCCTTACGTGTTCTTTCAAGAATTACAAGTCTTGAGTATTTTGATGAAGTGAGTGTTGTTGTTGATTGTGCTTATGGTTGATGATATGTGATTCTGTTTGAGCTATGCTTGATGTGAATGTGCATGAGTTCTTATTTAAATTTAAATTTAAGCTTTAAGTTTATAAGTTACTGTTAAAGTTAAGAAACAAGTTCTTTTTAAGAAGTAACTCACCTTCAAGAAGGTGAAGTCGTTTTAAGTGTGTTTAGTCACTAGCGCCAGTCCGTTGCCTTTGAGACATTTTGAGATAGAGCAGCAGTTATGCTCTTGAGACTTTTAAGATGGGCAGCAGTTATGCCCTTGAGAATCGGGGTGAAGAACCACCACGATACATTTAAGATGTTAGGGGAATGAATCGTTACGACTTCCCTAACTAAGTTTAAGTTTAAGGAAAGCCTGAATGGCTTCTCATACGTATGAGTTGGCAACCGGACTAGCTAGTGAGGGATCCCAGTGTCAGTCAATTTTAAGTTGAGATTTGAGTTTTAAGAGTAAAATCTTGGAGGGTGGAAGAATCATCCACCAATTTAAGTTAAGTTCTTAAGTAAGAAATATTAGAGATTTAAATCGTAAGGGCGTAGACTGACCCCAACTCACTCACCAGATCGTAGAGGAGGAAATCCTAACCAGCCAGTTCGTGATCAGCAAGCTAGGGGAGCACAGCACCGACGCTGCTGAGAGATGTCGAGTGAGGCGTCATAGTAAGCATCGGAGAACTTCTTTCAAGTTATTAAGACTTTATGGTTAAGAGTTTAAGATTGGAGATTCATTTCTTTTGGACAATTTGAGTTTTGCCCACGTGTTTAGGGCATCTCAAATCGAAGCCCTAAACACGTGAGATGTTAAGATATTTGAGTTGGTATTTTATTTAAACTTGTGTTATTTGAGAATTTTTAATTATACCCCGGGGTAGAAATGTCTTTTTCCAAATTCAAAGAGGTGGGATGTTTCATGTTTTGAACTTACCTTGTATATGACTTGGTTTACTTGGGGACAAGCAAACAGTTAAGTGTGGGGGAATTTGATAGCATCGTATTTGCACATGTTTGCACTCTTGTTTCCTGACCATTTTAGCTCGAATTTGTGGTTCCTTGGCCTATTTTACGCTAGGTTGTGTTGTTTTGTCATACCTCAGGTCCTAGCGAGTAAAGGGATGCATAGGCGCAAGTTTCAGGTCATTTGGAGGTCAGTTGGCGATTCAAGGTTCAAAATACGGGCATCCCCTGCACAATTACCGGCGTAATTGCCTTTGCTCTGACCATAATTCGAATGCCGAGCCAAAATGCTTGAGAATGTCCGTCGAAGATCAAAATACGGGCAAGAGAAAAATGAATTACGGTCGTAATTCCACAAATACTGGCAGTAATTGGGTAATGACGATTGTAATTCCCCTCATCAGTGTTAAGTGAAACGCGCGTTTTGGGTGAAATACGGGCAGACCATGTTTACGACCGTAATTCAGCCCGTATTTCGCCCAGAATTGGGTTTTTGGGGTAGATTCGAGCCAAAGGAGAGGGAATCGAGTATTTGAGCAAAAAACAGAGCTTTAGAGAGAAGAAGTGCGAAGAATAAACCCTAGGAGCTATTTGGAGTGGATTTCTCACCACTGAAGCGAAAATTGCATCCCCAGGAGTGAAGATCGACATCCCAGAGCAGATTATCCCCATCTTTATGAGTATGACTGCTTTGATTTTTGTTTTCCTCTCTCTCTCTCTCTCTCTCTCTCTCTATGGAGTAGAACCTTCTCTCACTTGGGTATGAAGAACCCTAGTTCCATGTGTTAGGAACCTTGATTGTAATGACTTTGGATTGATATACTGATTGATTTTAATCGAGTGATGCATGATTCATTGAGTCAATTGAAGCCTGATCATCTTTTCTTGATTTCTGCTGCAACCTGAGATATATAGAATCTGATTAGGTTGTTAGAGCTTCATCAATCGGTAGTAGTAGATTGGTTATACGAGAGTTAATCAATTTACTGCTTTGTACTGAAATCCAATTCCAGTAGTGGAGTTCTGTGTTTATTGCCTCAGTAGTTTATCCCGGTGAAGGCTAGTCGCCTTGCAGTTAGTCTGTCTGAGAGGGCTTGGTCAGCTTAAGAGATTCGGACTACTGTCGGATCTTCCGCAGTTTAATTAACAGTAAATCAAACCAGGGTAATTACAACTTGACCTAACTAATGAGCTAGGGGGACTCATTCCCGAGTGACTCTTCCCTTGCTAAAGAACTTTGAACCATTTCCTGCTTTCTTACTACTTTTACTTAAAATCATAATCACTCGAATTAGTTTTCTAGATAATAGATAATCACTGAGTAGGCAGTAGATCTGGACCCCGGGTCGATAAATAGACCTTGCCACTTTACTGCATTTCCGGACTGCGACACTTGGTCGCAGTATGGTGTTGTGTTTTAGCGTTTCAGTGTTGCATGTGATCGAGTATATCCTATGATGATGACTGAGAGGTCCATTAGGATAGTGAAAAAGTTTAGTTCTCATGTGTGCATAAACGAATGGATATCTTGACTCGATTACTTGTTGACTACAACTTGCCATGCATTGTGTTTGTGAATTGGAATAAATGATTGGGTGACTAGGTAGCCATGTGAGCTTTGAACTGATCGTTTTCTTCTTGTGTGCTTAGATCCCTCTTACCATGGTGTGTAACATCACATTTGTCACTAGGTAAGTATGATGGAGGCATAAGATTAGTCCACGCCCAAATGTTGATTGTCCCAAAATGTGTTATCTCTTAGTCAACCCCTTTGAGCCTTGTGACTTCGAGGGTCGTTCTTAAGTTAGGAGCTTCATGCTTGTGAACTTAATGGTGTTGATAGAACGACCACCAATCCTTTCTTCGTGTCTAAACATGAGTCGTCCTTGTGTCCCGGAGCTCTTACTTTTGAGTCCATAGAGGTTCTACATAGGAGGTTTGTGTGCGGTTCTTACTAGGAATGAAAAATGAAGTGTAGTGTTGGAGTGAGTTCTTCAAAATGAGAGCATTGGTCATTAATTTCATAGCTGGCAAGTGTTTTTACTCTCTAGTACCCCCTCAAAAAGAAAAGAGAAAGAAAGGAAAGAAAAGAGAAACGAAAAAGAGGTAATAAAATGGGGTAAATAAAGTAGAGAGTGCCACGAAAAACCAAAGTGTATGCTATGGGAGGGGTTTCTTGGAACCCAAGCCAATGAGACCCCCACATTGTTTTAGAACTCCTTCACTACCAAATCGAAACGCGATAGCAAGAGTAGGCTGAGGAAGAGTGCTTCAATGTAGTTCACGATGGGTGATAGTTTGGAAATGAGAGATAAGGTTTTTGGCCGATGCTAGTGGCCTTTGGTTGAAGAGAAGGGTTTTAGTCGAAACCATAGAACCTTCGGGCTCAAGTTGAAGATGTAGAACCTCAGGTCATGATTGCCACCACCCAAAAAGCCTTTTCCCCATGTCCAAGACAATTGCCCGTCATCTGAACCCGTGTCTAAGACTTATGGACAAGCTAGTGATGACAACCATTCCGTGAACTCTAGCATTTAGAACTTTCCGCCATGGTGTTGAGGCGATAGGGTCGAGTGTTTATGAATGTGCACATCTTTTGCACAAAAAAGGTCCCGACCCCAAAAATGTGCACATCTTCATACCCCGGTGAGGACCTTTGTTGCCTTTCCATTTGTTCCTCGGACTTGAATTCTATGCATGGTGGGTTGTGGTTGATAAGTGGTCTTGTTGAGACTTGCATTGATCCATGAACAAGGTGAGAAATTTTCATTTGCCCACTTTTGTTGGCCTCGAATGTTGTTTGTGGTGGATGTCGGTATTGCTTGCAACGGTCCATGAGTTAATTGCCAATAGCCATTTAGAATTCCCACTTTGTGTCCTTTGAGTTGTCCCCAAAGTATTTTTGTAGGTTGAAATAGTACCTTGTGTGAAATGGTTTGCTTGAGGACAAGCAAACGTCTACGTGTGGGGGAGTGATTCGGGCCTAATTGTACATGTTTTACCCCCGTTTTCCTTAGGCGTTTGTGGCAATTTCTCTCCTAAAAGGGTGGTTTTAGGCTAGGTTTCTCGTGTTTTAGCATTTTTCAGGATTTAACAGGTGAAACCAGCCCCGGAGTTGAAAGTTGGAAGAAAAGGAGCGAAAATTTGGAGAAGAGGTGAAAAACGGCGAGTTCACGATTTTCCTTGGATGTTCACGGTCTTGTATGACCGTGAAGAAGAGCTGTTGCCCGTGAACATCGAGGCGTCTAGAGCATTTCCAGAGGTTACTGACGCTAGGCGAGTTCACGGTCACTAAGACCATGAACTGGAGCTGTGGACCGTGAACACGTGCAAGCGAAGCAGTGCATTTTGGCGTCAGCCTTGAGTTCATCGACATGTTTCAGATTTCACGTCCGTGAACTGAGGCGGTGTACTGTGCTCGTTCCCTGTTTAAAATATGAGATGAAATGAAGAGAGAAGGGAGAGCCCATTTTGAGTGAGAAAGCCTTCTTCAGATTTTAGAGAGAGAAAGACGAACCAAAGGAGAAGGAGGCTAGTGTTTTGCTCTGAGAGTGGATTTGGGAAGATTCTCCCTAAGAGAAGTTCAGCACAAGTGCCAAGAAGATTGCAAACCTCCTTCTTAATGGTTTTTACCTCTCCCCCTTGTATTTCTCCCATTTCTAGCATGGAGTAGATTTCTTTTTCACTTGGGTGTTGTGAAACCCTAGCTAGCTACCATGTAGTTTTCTGTTATGTGAATTGAATGATTGTTTATGGGTGTTGTTTAATTCAATGATTGAGGTATTATTCATGTTGATTGTGCATGTTTGTGCTTAGCAATCTAAGGATTGTGCATGTTGGTGCTTAGGAATCTGAGGATTGTGCATGCTTGTACTTAGCAATCTAAGGGTTGTGCATGTTTGTGCTTTGCAATCTAATTAGCCACTTAACCTAGATTAGAGAGGAAACCCCCCCCCCCCCCCCCTTCCAGGGGAGACTCAATTGAGTAAGTAGTCCTAGGGCTTTTTAAGTCTCCTAACTAGGTTAATTTAGGGCAAACCTCAATGTTGGATTAGGCAATTTGGTTAAGTACAATTGAGCCGTCCAACCATTGGGTTGAGTGAGGGATTAAGTCAACCATTGATTGCCTAAACCAAGAGGTCTGAATGGCATCCTATGCTGTATTCCTTGGTTTAGCAATCGTGAGTGTGGTCTACGACCATATTTGCATCCCCTAGCGGTTCGCGATCACCTTACCCATAGCAATCGTTTAATTCACATACCATGGTAGTAGTTAGGGGGAAGCGACACCCGAGTGATCCTTCTCACAAAAGAGCTTTCAAAACAATTCACTTATGTCTGGTTTTACTTTAATTAGCAAACTTTTCAACCAAAACCTTATTGCTAGATAATGATTCGAATGACTGAAGTAGGGGTACACGGACTGGCCCGGGTTGATATTTAAAGATACTTGTCATGTACTGCACCCGACTAAGGTTTATACTTGGACCTTAGGCGGGAATTAATTGTGGTATTCGGGACGAGTCAGTATTCCACAAGTTGTTCTAATGTATAATTAATGACAACATACCATATATGCTCAACATGAAATAGAGAGCTTCTTTAGGGGGTTTCATTCAAGTAATGAACAAAGAAAAGCGAAGAATGGAAAAGTAAAGTTTAGGGGATTTTCAAGTTATAGATGCATAAAAGTAAAGAAATGTTATTCAACAAGAAGGCATACTCGAGTATAATCACACATACTATTGCTTAATCATATCACATGCATCAATGACTCATCTATAGAATCACTCTATTCCTTCCACTAAGGCCATCCTACTCGAGATTTTGCTACATGCAATAGGAACTTGACTAGCTAATGCATGCTTTCGCTTCATGCCATCACCTTATCAATGAAGAATAGAGAAGTGAGGATATGACATGATTAAGTGTGTGCCTCTTGAGCTGATACAACCCTGGGGGTGTATTTTTATCAAAGTAACGCAACAAACGATCAATCCGAAGATTGATTGAACTCGAATCAAGAACAACACATTCTTAATACGGAAAGTGAATAAAACGGAACCAATGGACAATTCCAATGGAACCAATGGACAACATGTTCTTAATACGGAAAATGAATAAAACGGAACCAATGGGGAAAGATTGTATGGTAGAAAGGTAGTTGCTCGACCATGATTGAAGAGAATATTCAATCGATACAAAGCTCAAACAAGTTTGTAACTTGCACAAAACCAAAGGGTTTCTTTTTCGATTAATCAAAGTCTAAGTTTTTACAACGAAAATAGAAGGCTATTTATAGCCAAGAAAACCTAAATGAACAAGGAAGCAAATAAGGTAAACTTCTACTCTAAAAAGGTTACACAATTCGGATCCAAACTTCATTTCTTGAAGCACAAGTAAGCTGCAAGCAAACAATCTAAAAGCAGCTTGCGTACTCACTTCGCGCCTTTTGTTCGAGGCCTTCCAGAACTCCAATTCTTCATCCAAGTACTTTTCTTTGTTCACAAACATACCTAGTTTCATGTTGTAGAAGCCTTTGGACTTGAATCCCTCCCTTCCATGCTCCTCGAATTAAGCTCAAAAGTAGGCTTCACAAACACGTTTTGAGGTAGCAACTTTGAGGCCTTGGAAAACAACCTTAATGACATCTTCTGGATGCAAAAAGTATACCATTGGAAAGATGAAAACTTTATCTTCAAGAAAAACCATTGATCTCCAATTTTCATTGAGCCATTTGTGAAATATAAGCTTCCAAAGTAGGTACCATGAACTCGGATTTTGACTTAACCAAATTCTGCCTTTATTCTTTCCAACTTCGATAGCTTATTCGTCTAATAATTCTGGCTCGAATATGATGCCATCTGGGATTGCATCATGATCCATAATTGATGGTCTATAGCGTCAATGATATGACAATCAATCATTGATAATACTCAAGGTATAGATGGTTGATCATTCCCTCTATACTCATATAGCATCAATGAGGTATCACTAGTGGGTAATTTCTTTACAACCTGGATGATACTAAGCACAATGCATATAGTAGCATACTATAGAGTCATAAGCATCGATGATAACAAAGCATTCATACTAGGTAAACATCAATTATCATCACATAGACATCGCAACTAAAAGCATCCATGCATACATCAATAACATCAAAACTCACAGCATAAACACAAGCATCATATAAAATCATAGCATCAATATATACTAAGATAAAAAAGTTCACATTCTTATACAATCAATTTCGAACTAGCTATATATAGAAGAAAATGAGGGTACCACCATCAATGATGAAGACATCTCCTTAGGTGTGCCTTCCCGTAGGAGTGCTAAGCTTTCACTCGAACAGAGTGTCTACATAAGTTTTGAATAGAATGTGCAACCTATAGAACTAATAAACATAATCATCTATTTATAGTGGTAAAATTTGACCAAAACCTTCCTAACTCTATTAGGACACGATTTCTTTGACTTGGGGTCGAAGCATAGCTATTTATAACATCGCTGGGCCACCACTAATTTCTGCTTTTTCTTTGGCCGAGTTTTCCTCCATTGAGCTTCTCTTGGGCTCTACTTGTGGTTACTAGTAGGCTTCTCCGTCATTGAATCTTGTCTTTATCATGAAAGTTTTATATTCTTCTCTTCATAGCTCCTTTGGTCCTCCGGAGTTATCCAATGCTTGATCAAAATCCTTCTAGGTTGCTTTGTACCTTGAAAATCATAAAAAAAATACCAAGAAGGCATAAAAAAGTACAAAAACACAACCCTAGTATATTGAATGCCCATTGATCAAATAGTTATGATTTCGGTATGCAATATAAGAGAATGTGTTAAAGAAGTGTTAATAGAAGGGAAAATGTATCAAATATGGAATGATAAAAAATGATAAATAAACATTATAAATAGATTGTCATAAAAAAATACCCCGCACTGGAACTTTGCTTGTCCTCAAGCAAACGCTGCTCACAATCATACAACTTAATGAACACTAGCAATCATCAATCAACCATGATCTTAGGTAGTGTATCATAAGTAACTTACAAGGTCAACAATAATATGGGAGAATTCTAACCAAATGAACATGCAAGAACATCATGCAATTCAACCTAAGCATCAACCACTAACTATGCATTAGAGCCTAAAAAAGATAGGGTGAAGTGTTTTATAATCATTTAAACTTTGAATGTTTTTAACCATAAACTTGACATTTACTTTGTCTTAGTCAAACACATACTCTATTTTTTCATTTTTTTTCTTCATCAATTTTTTCCATTTTCTAGACATTTTCTTTTATGGAGAGCTCTTTACTTATTAGAGTCCCAGGCCCTTATTGATTGAGCAAGAGCTAGAAGATCCTATTCCTCAAATCGTGTGGAGGGTCAATGAAGTTAAGGGGTATCGAAGCTCTATTTGTGCCCTTAAAACACATCCTCAAGTTGGCTATCAATTCAATGAGTGAAAATTTTACTTATACTAGAGAGAAACTAGCATCATCTTGCAGGACTTTTCCACTAAAGCTCAATTCGTATCTCTTCCAAAATCTGATTTCATGCAATGAAAATGTGCCACACTTTATTTCTCAAAACAACATGAGGTTTTCGAATGAAACAATGTCTTAATAGGTAGGTTTTTGCATTTTCTGGAAGATACAGTTCACCCTTTGAAAATTTCTAAAATCGGGAGACTCTTTAGCATAATCAGAAATCTTTGAATAGATCAAACAACATGACATCCAAATATATACAAAAAATTCTTTATATCCCATTGATTATTTCATTCATCATAGCAACTACGCTATCCTCTCTAGATCAAGTGATGACTACTAATGGGATGACAAAAAGTCATTAAAAGAAAAACATCTTTAGTAATTTCAAATATGTTGAAGCACATATCATAACCATTTAGCATTGAAAATGTGAATCATTCACAACATTGTGAAAGAGGAAGAAATCCTGAATGGAACTTCTCTCTCTTCCTTTATTTTGAAAAATTATGCACTCACTTTTTTCTACTCTAAGAATCCTCATTCTGTTTTTCAGGGCCAGCGCCGACTCCTTTTGGTGATCGGTGGTAGCCTAACCTTCATTTTTTTGTTATGTTTTTCTCTATGTTTTCAACCCATGTTGGCCTTTTCAGACCTTTGTTGTCTTTTTTATTTCTGATAAGTGGTATCCTTCCACAATGTTTGATCCAAGTTTCTTATTTATCCTTTTGGTATGGATTATTCTACCGAACCTTGAATTCCATTTTTGGTGTGTTTTCAGACTCATTTTGTATTTCGCCCCTTGTTGCAATATAAGCTTTCATCTTGTAAAAAAACATTGAGGAAAAGGTTTAAGCATTTAGACGTGACTCCATAGGGTGGGTTATGTATATTACTAGCTTGGACCCGGCCACTTGGCCAGAATATTTAATTATATTATTTGATAAATGATCTGAACTAAATTTTTTATTTAATACTGTAAATGTATATTCTTTAAACATAGTATTAGTGAAAATTTAAATTGTCTTTAACTTTAGTTTATGATAGGTTTTTTTTTACAATAATCAACCTTCAATGTAAGCTCTTTGTATTTGGTTCATGTACTAAATCGAGATTCTCATAACTTAAGGTTCATCGATTTTCAATCTTTGACCTAATATGATTTCGTTTCATCCAAATAGAGTAGAAAAATAAAAAATGATGTAATTTGAGACATAATAAGGGCTTAATTATGCACTTATAAGGACGCAATTAAGATTTATGGTGCATATTCTTCTAATAAAATTGACTTGGTTTATCAAACTGATAAAACCAAAAAAATGGAACCATAACCATCAAATTTGGTTAATTATTATAATAAAGTATAAAAAATCTCGGTTTAAACAAAATTTTTCGGCGACTTAACTGATTAGTATACAAATATCCAAAAATAATAATGGTAAGAAAACAAAATTTGCAACAAAACAAAACAAGAAAATCAAAATTGAAAGAAGAAATTTCCTTTCTTTAATAGCTAATAATGAGGATGTTCCTCTTGCAACAAGAAAGTATCAATTGTATTCAATAAATGAAGTTTGGAAACGTGGATAGGTCTCGCGATATCCATGTGGCACGCTAAAATACAACACCAAACTGCGACCAAGTGTAATCGCAGTCCGGAAATGCAGTAAAGTGGCAAGTTCTAATTATCAACCCGGGGTCTAGATCTACTGTCTACTCCGTGAATATCTTTTATCTAGCAAACTAAGTCGATTGATTGTGGTTTTAACTAAAAACAGTAAATGATTCGGTTTCTAAAGCAAAGGAAGAGTCACTCGGGAATGAGTCTCCCTAGCTCCTTAGTTAGGTCACAGTTGTAATTACTTTTTGTTGGTTTACTGCTGATTATACTGCGGAAGATCCGACAGTAGCTTGGAATCTCTTAAGCTGACCAAGCCCTCTCAGTCAAACTGCCCGGCAGACGACTAGTCTTCATCGGGATAGAACACTGAGGCAATGAACATAGAACTCCACTACTGGAATTAGATTCCAGTACAAAGCAGTGAATCGACTAACTCTCGTATAATCGATTCACTACTACCGATTGAAAAAGCTCTAACAACCTAATCAGATTCTATCTATCTCAGGTTGCATCAGAAATCAATAAAAGATGATCAGACTTCAATTGACTCAATCAAAACACTTCAATCGATTATAATAAAGCAATATCACAATCCAAAAGTCGTTACAACAATGACTCCATAGAGAGAGAGGAAAACAGCAAACAAAGCAGTCATACTCATCAAGATGGGAAGAATCTGCTCTGGGATGTCAATCTCCACCCCAAGGATGATTTCCAAGCTTGATTGATGAAACCCAACTCCAAAACCACTCTTAGGAGGTGTTCTTCGCACTTTCTCTCTCTAGGGCTCTGTTTTTGCTCCAAAATGTCGATTCTCTCTCCTTTGGCTCGAATTTAGGTTAAAACCCAGAACTTCCCGACCACACGGGCAGGCCACACGGCCGTGTGGCTTTCCCAGCTGCCCGTGTGAGTTGTGCAAAACGCGGCGTTTCGATAAGTGGACTTCAGCCATCCTACACGGCCACAACCACACGGCCGTGTGGATTTCCAGGCTGCCCGTGTGAGTTCGCTGGAATTTTCACACGGCCACATGGGTTCCCTTACACAGCCGTGTGGGTTTTAGGAATGCCCGTGTGACTTCCTCAGCTTCTCGCCAAACGTCCGATCTCCGTCCAATCGACCCCGAACTCGTTCCTAAACCTTCATTCACGTACTAGGACCTGAAATATCAAAACAAGAACAACCTAGTGTGAAATCGGCCTAAAACACAAGAATCAACATCTCAAACGGCTCAAGAATAGGGGTAAAAACATGTGCAATTAACGGTCTATCAAACTCCCCCTCACTTAACCGTTTACTTGTCCCGAAGCAAACTTGACTCAAACCAATACAACTCTCTAGACCTCTATAGCAACATGCAACCCCGATCGTCGGAAGAGGATTTTCTAGATCATTTAGCAACTTACGAGGTCAACTGGTCTTCTAAGACGCCTCCTATCTCTCTCAATGAGAGTACTAGACTCAAGCCAGGATCATGAGAAGCAGTGGAACTAAGACATTCAATTCATGGATAAGGAGACTCACACAATTCAACAACCAAGGACTCATTGTATCGGGTGCTCTTTCATTTCATTTCACTTGTTGGAACCCCTTCTTCTTACTATTTGTTTTTTTTTCTTTGCTGGGGTTCCAACTGCAGTTTGTATGCGTCCTTATTAGGTGAGCAAGAGCAATTTCTGTACATCTATCACTTGCCAGAGTACTTCTTTTAACTCCTATTCCTCACTTCATGTTAGGAATGGCAATGGGGCAGGTCCGGGGCGGGTTTCTTGGTACCCAGACCCTCCCCGTGGCAGGTCGGGTCCAGGTCGGGTAATTGATCACGGGTCGCGGGTCGGGGCAGGTCGACCCAATGGGTATGCAATTTATATTAAAAACATTATAAATATTCGTTATTTTTATTATAAGACTAAGAAAACAAACAATATTATGACAATTGCAGTTAAATTATTGGAGAAATTGAGGTTTTAACTAATTTACAACTTTCTTATAGCTAAAATATGATGCAATAAAAGGAAAATGCTAAGTAATTTGACTAAGATTACATGTAAATTAGACAAGAACGTGTCGAGAATGGGGCGGGTCAGGGCAGGTCAGGTCGATGAGACTACCCATGCCCGCCCCGAAACAGGTCGGGTAACACGGGTCAGGTCGAAATTGCCATCCCTACTTCATGTGGAGAGTCAATGAAATTAAGGGGGGTCGGAAGCTCTATCCATGCCCTTAAAAACACATCCTCAAGTAGCCAAACCGTTCAACGGGTGGAAATTTTACTTGTACTAGAGACAACTTAGCTTCACCTTGTAGGCCTACCCCACCAAGGATCACTAAAATCTCTTCCAAAACCCGATTTTTGTGCAATGAACGGTGCCGCACACGTTGGGCTTACCCCTTGTCTTAGAATTTCAAATTTTTGACATGGAGGACCAACTGCTTTTTCATTTCACACTTGAGCACCCTTTTTCTATACACGAGTCCACAACACAACATAAGAGGAGTCATCAATACCACATGAATCAACGATCCTAAATCCACTAGTTCACAAAATCAACCGGCACAGCAGAGAGACAGATAGGAAAAATCTTATACTTCAACATCCTCCATAGTGCTACAACTACCTCCCTAGGTTGCATATCACCATAAAGACTGTCAATTCAAAGCATACTGAGCAGGATTTTGCAGGGAACAGTACTTGGAGCCCTCAATTCATCAAATTGAACAGTGGACTAGGCTCCAAGCACACAAACTCATCTAGCAGTCAAAAATAGATAAACACCCCCCCCCCACACAAACACACACTTAAGCACGACATTGCCCTCAATGGAGCAAGGGAAAGATAAGGGGAACGATGTTACCGGAAAGAAAGAATGTTGGGGGACTGGAAGTGGACCAGTCAGTGGGGAACATATGGAACGAATGGAACAGTTCTGCATGAAGGGAACATCAAGAACACACTAGCACACTGTGCGTTAGGGATCAGAGTTATCCCAGATGGCCACAGAATAGACAATCCACAAAAGAAAGAAAAAATGCAAAACCAAACGACAGACTCAGTTCAAGCTCCGCATACAAATGGAGCAAACAATAAAAGTCTTAAACAAAAACACACTCTGAGGGGCGACAAGTACAGACTACTCATCGCCAAGGTTGTCAAAGTCGATATCGTCCATGAAGGCGTCATCTCCTGCGGTCGGGGGTGGAAGGGGAGAGTCCTCCCAGGGAGTCCTCCAGACTGGCTGCTTGCCCGGTATCAGATGGAGCAGGTGCTGCTGGACTTCCTGCATACGCCAAGATCGGGCCTTCTCCCGCTCGATGTGAGCAAGGGTCACCCCCTGCTGGGTCTCCATACGGTCAAGGCGCTCATCATAGGCAGCCATCCGGGTCCGATACTCGGCCTGGTGAGCCGAGTACTGTTGCTGGAACTGGAGATGATGGTCGAGGAGTTGCTGATTCTGGAGACTCATCTGCTGGAACTAGTGAGTGAAGTAGTCCTGGGCTGGGAAAGTGGAACTGCTACCTCCATACTCGAAGGTTGTCGGGCGAGGGGCATCAGCATCATCCACATCCTCGGGGTGGACATCCTCAGCAGCCCCATCCGCAGGAGCATCGGGCTGGTCCTCCACTGGGAGTGGTGGAGCAGGAAACCCCTCGATCCACTTGATCATGTCTTCGCCGAAAACACTAGTGCCCCCCTGCTCTGTGCAACCCTGCAGTGGGATCTGGAAGTAGGTGGCCAGGAGGGTGATGAGGGGAGTGTAGTGGACTGTCCCTAGTTGTGAAGCACTCTTTTCCAGCGTCCTGGCCACCACAGAACCCAGGTGGAGAGGATGGTTCGCCTGGCGGATGGACTGGATTAAGTACATGGATCTCTTGGTCAGGGTGCTGGCACTGTCCCCAGTTGGAGTGTAGGACTTCGCCAGCATGTGGTGGAGAATGCGGTTGTCGAGCTGCAGGGTGCTGGACTTCGTCCGCCCTGCAATGAAGGGGCGCTGGCCAGGCTGAGCTAGGTGGGTGTACAGCGTCTTGAAATTAACACCCACTGGATCGTTGAGCTCGGTGACGTAGTCCCTATCATCGTCCAGGCCGAGGTCGAGAGCGATCGCCAAATTGTGATAGCTCATGGAGCGGGTCGCACCATTGAGCCTGAACTTGACGGCTTCACCGTCTGTCCAGTCCTCTGTATCTTCGTGCTTAAAGGTCGTGTTGAACTCAAGCACCAGCTCATGGTAAACCTTCTCTCGAATGGACAGCAGACGGCGCCAAGGGCGGTTGATGGCAATGAAGAGGAAGTGGTCGTAGCAATTCAGCTTCTCAAACTCCGTCCTGGACCAGTAATGATGCTGCCCAAACGAGCAGGCTAGGACGCGCTTAAAGCGATCCTGGTGGGGGGCCCTGTTCAAATCCCGGATGAACGGGTGCTTGAGGTCGGGTTTCGTCATGGTCCTGCAAAATAACAACCCAAAGTGGAGCCAAAAGAGCCAAAGAAAAGGTTAATCACACCCCCACACTTGAGAACAGAAAACAGCCAAACCATGGTTTCATCGATAGTTCAGGGGTCAAAAACTCGATTAAACAAGCATAATCTGGGTGGGGGGTGCATATCCATGATGAGGTAGGCAACTTAAGGTTCACATCCATAGCAAATACACCCTCAAAGCACATCATTAAGGGCCCCAACCGGTTCCCACAAAATGGTATGAAAAGCTGGCATTACATCGAACACCTTGTGTGCACTATTAAGTTAAGCATGGAATTGGCAAATTTCTAGCACACAAGGGCTCAACCAAGCATGGGGGACATTTCCCAACACAATTCACACATAAACCAAGCCTTCCCCTCAATCAATTGCACACAATTCACACATTGCAAAGTTGTTCTCTAAACATACACCCTAACACCCAATTCTCCACAATTCACAAGGTAAAGGGCAAAATCAAACCTGGAGACACAAGTAGAGGTGTAGGGGATGATGAGGAGAAGGCAATGGAAATGACGAAAATCCCAAAATCTGCCCGGAAATGCTCGTTGGAGCCTCGTCGGAGTCTCGCCGGAAATCGCGTCCGGCGACTCAAAATCGGTCCAAATCGCCTCAAATTGAGGGATAGGCCAAAAATGGGGACGAAAGGTTGGGTGTGGTGTTGGTTTGGTGAAAATTTGACAAAAAATGGTCGGAAAATCCCCAAAGAGGCGAAAAGTTGCTGTTTTCCGGCGAGGGCGAGAGGATTCCGGAGAGGGGAGTTGGGTTTTCTGGCGACGCGGCCGTGTGGTTCAAATTTATAGGCGCTGGCTCGGCCACACGGGCACGCTCACACGGCCGTGTGAGGTGCAATAGCGCCTGTGTGTGGCCGAGAAAAGTTACAAGGCCTGACCGAGGAATTTCACACGGCCGTGTGAGGTGCAATACTGGCCGTGTGGAAATCACCGAGCCTTCACACGGCCGAAGACCAATTCTACACGGCCGTGTGCGGGACCCCTCTTGCCCGTGTGAAAATTCCAGGGCCTTCACACGGCCAGAAGCGAATTCCACACGGCCGTGTAGGATTTAGGCCTAGCCGTGTGTAATTCTAGAGCCCCGAATTTGACCTATTTTCGCGCAAAATCGACATTCGACTCTTGGACAACACCTCAAGACTCAGAAACTCAAAAATTCAAAAGGAAAAAGGAAAGAAAATGCAAACCTAGGTGAGGTTGCTCCCCACAAGCGCTTCTTTACCGTCTTTTAGCTGGACGCCAGTAGGGTGGATGCTCATAGAGGTGAAGGAACAGGTGCCTCCAAGAGCAGATCCACATCGCTCTTGAGATACAGCTTCAGGTGGTGGCCATGCACACGGCGAATGTGGCCACCAGCACTCGTCAACTTGGCCTGGCCATCCGGCAGGATGCAAGCGAGTGAATACTCGGATGGCCAAGGCGGTCGAGGCTCAGGAGGCGGAACCAGCTCGTAGTGGTCTCCTGTTTTCTTGTGAGCAGGTTTAGCTACCTGCAGCTTCGGCTGCCACTCCTCCTTAATCTTGTCTTTAGGTAACAGAGTGGATGGGAGTGGCGACGAAGATATGAGAGAGGGATCCTGCAAAATGGGAAGCACAGAAGGATACACGACAGACTCGTGCTCCTGGTGAGAAACAGCATGCAAAGGCGATGAAGCAGGGAGAGTATTAGCAATGGAAAAGGTTATTCGCTCCTCGCCATCCCTCAAGACTAAGGTCCCATCACGTACATCTATGAGAGCCTTGGCGGTGGCTAGGAAAGGCCTTCCCAGTATAAGGGGCACTTCTGTCTTCTGTGTCCTCATTGATGTCCAAGACAACAAAATCCACAGGATAACAGAATGTGCCAACCTTAACCAGAAGGTCTTCCACTATGCCCCTAGGGTGAACTATAGATCGGTTAGCTAATTGAAGACTCATCCTAGTTGCACGGGGTTCACCTAGGCCTAGTTTCTTGAAAAAATTATATGGCATGACATTGATACTAGCACCTAGATCCGCCAAGGACCTCTCTACATGCAATTTACCTATAGAGCACGGGATAGTAAAACTACCTAGGTCCTTCTGCTTCGGCGGAAGCTTGTTCTGCAGAATGGCTGAGCACTCCTTGCTGAGCTACACAGTGGCCAGCTCGCTCAGCTTCTGCTTCTTTGAGAGAAGATCTTTCAGAAACTTTGCATACTTATGCCTTTGAGATAGTGCCCCCAGGAAGGGCACTTGGACATTCAGCTTCCTAAGCATGGACATGAAGTTTCCGAACTCTGCTTCTAGCCTGTCTTTGTGCAACCGAGTAGGGAAGGGGAGTTGAGGGATATACTCCTTCACTACTGGTTGCGGCTTAGGCGCAGGCACCTCAACATCCTTTTCTGTTTCTTCTTCAACCGTTGTAGATGCTAAGGCAGGTCTACCTCGCGCTTATCTGGCCAGGACAGGTGGGTCTGCAGTCTCTTTGCCGCTCCTTGTTGTGATGGCATTGCAGTAGGCATTTTGGTCCTTCGGATTAGGAATGGTATGACCTGCCAAGGTACCTGGAGCCCTCTGCGCCACTGCTTGAGCCACACTCACCAGCTGGGTTTGGATAACCTGCAAGACAGCCTGTGTGTTCCTCTGGCCAGCTTCAAGAGCCAAGAATTTACCCGAGGCCTTTTCCATGAACTGCTTGATAGTGTTGAATTTCTGAGCACTTGAACTGGCAAGAGAACCCACCAAGTCCCGCAATTCAGCCATAGGATCATTCTGCACTAGGGTTGCAGGGGGCTGCACCTGGCTGCTGGAAAGATCGCGGCTGTGGTTGAGCAGCATGCTCCTGCATGGGCCGGTAGAGAGACTACTGGTGCTGCTGGAATTGCCCCTGTCAGGGCTAATATGGCGGCCTCTGGAAGCCTGGCGGTCCTTGGGAGGCTGGTGGTCTAGGATTTGCCCCAGTGCAGGAGAAGTTGGGATGCTGGCGCCACCCTTCGTTGTACGTGTTACTGTAGGGGTCATTGCGCCTAGCATTATTGATGAAGCTCACCTGCTCCTGGGGTGTGGTCGACTCCCTCATCGCCTGGCAGTCTTCCACCGTGTGATGGGTGCTCTCGCACCACTGGTAGTGCATCGCTTGCTGCTGTCCGGTCCCTGGAATCATCCCAGAGCGATCGATGGCTGAAACCAGCTTCGATACCACCTGCACCAAATCAGATGACTAAATGGCTACAGCATGCACACCCCGCCCTGGTGCTCGTCTCGATCTCCTCGTTGTTCCCCAATCATAGCCCTGCTCTGCCATCTTTCAAAAGGTTGATTCAACTGTGGCGGTGTTTTGGTGAGCATATTCCCGCCACAGACCGAGGCAATCAGCTGCTTGTGTTCGGGGAAGAGGGCATGGTAGAAGGTGCCCACCTTGAAGGCGTCAGTAAAACCATGGTTGGGACACTTGAGGAAGAGACGAGTGTATCTCTCCCAAGCATCCCGGATGGTCTCATCTTCATCCTGAGCAAAGTGGGTAATTTGCTTCTGCAGGTCCGCCGTCTTGGACGGGGGATGGTAGCGAGTGAGGAACTTGTTCGCCAGGTTGGCGAATGTGGTGATCGAGCCTGGAGGTCGAGTGTCTAGTCACTCCTTGGCCTGCCCCTCCAGAGTAAATGGGAAGTACCTCAGCTGGATGGCATCCGCTGGGACCCCATTTATCTTGATTCCGTCGATGAGCTCGTGGAATCGCCTCAGATGTGATTGGGGGCACTCCCCCTCTTTCCCACGGAATACTACTGAGCCGCGCAACATAGTGATGACCGAGGTGCTCACCTCAAAGTTGTTGGCTGGTACATGAGGGTGCTGAATGGGCGACCTCATGTCCGCGGCTCTGGCGGTCCAGTAGTACCCCATGGTTTGCTCCTCGGGAAGGACCACATCATGGTTTTGTGGGTCACCCATCTCTTCTTCGTTGGCGATTTGCAGCTGTGCTAGCGCCTCCTCCGCAGCCAGTCGTGCCTTTAGAGCCCGCTTGAAGTTCCTACAGGTCCGTTCAAGCTCCTGGTCTAATGGTAGTAAATCTCCCGACTGGCTACGGGTCATGCACTACTTGCACACAATCAGTAAAAGCAACCCGTGAAGGCACACAGGTTGAAGAGAGAAAATGCAGTAAAGAAAAAGCTAGAGAAACAAACTTTCACGTTTCTCCAATAACCTAGAAGTCCCCGGCAACGGCTCCAAAAACTTGGCACACTAAAACACAACACCAAACTGCGACCAAGTGTAATCCCAGTCCGGAAATGCAGTAAAGTGGCAAGTTCTAATTATCAACCCGGGGTCTAGATCTACTACCTACTCCGTGAATATCTATTATCTAGCCAACTAAGTCGATTGATTGTGGTTTTGACTAAAAGCAGTAAATGATTCGGTTTCTAAAGCAAAGCAAGAGTCACTCGGGAATGAGTCCCCCTAGCTCCTGAGTTAGGTCACAGTTGCAATTACTTTTGGTTGCTTTACTGCTGATTATACTGCGGAAGATTCGACAGTAGGTTAGAATCTCTTAAGCTGACCAAGCCCTCTCAGTCAAACTGCCCGGCAGATGACTAGTCTTCACCGGGATAGAACGCTGAGGCAATGAACACAGAACTCCACTACTGGAATTAGATTCCAGTACAAAGCAGTGAATCGACTAACTCTCGTATAATCGATTCACTACTACCGATTGAAGAAGCTCTAACAACCTAATCAGATTATATCTATCTCAGGTTGCAGCAGAAATCAATAAAAGATGATCAGACTTCAATTGACTCAATCAAAACACTTCCATCGATTATAATCAAGCAATATCACAATCCAAAAGTCGTTACAACAATGATTCCTAACACATAGAACTAGGGTTCTTCATACCCAAGTGAGAGAGGGTTCTACTCCATAGAGAGAGGAAAACAGCAAACAAAGCAGTCAAACTCATCAAGATGGGAAGAATCTCTCTGGTATGTCAATCTTCACTCCAAGGATGATTTCCAAGCTTGATTGATGAAACCCAACTCCAAAACCACTCTTAGGAGGTGTTCTTCGCACTTTCTCTCTCTAGGGCTCTGTTTTTGCTCCAAAAAGTCGATTCTCTCTCCTTTGGCTCGAATTTGGGTTAAAACCCAGAAATTCCCAACCACACGGGCAGGCCACACGGTCGTGTGGCTTTCCCAACTGCCTGTGTGAGTTGTGCAAAACGCGGCGTTTCGATAAGTGGACTTCAGCCATCCTACACGGCCACAACCACACGACCGTGTGGATTTCGAGGCTGCCAATGTGAGTTCCCTGGAATTTCCACACGGCCACATGGGTTCCCTTACACGGCCGTGTGGGTTTTAGTCATGCCCGTGTGACTTCCTCAGCTTCTCGCCAAACGTCCTATCTCCGTCCAATCGACCCCGAACTCGTTCCTAAACCTTCATTCACGTACTAGGACCTAAAATATCACAAACAAGAACAACCTAGCGTGAAATTGCCCTAAAACACGAGAATCAACATCTCAAACGGCTCAAGAATAGGGGGGAAAACATGTGCAATTAACGGTCTATCACCATGTTTATAATGAAAGTGCGTGTTTACAAAAAAACAAAGTAAATAGAAAGTCCGAAGTCCTTTCCATAAAAATAACAAGTGATTCTTATGTCCTATAGAAATTTATGTGTTTGAAAACAATGATGCTCCGGATTCTCTCTCTCTCTAAACGGTTGCTCTGAACAAACTTTCCGCCATTAGCTCCACATGCGCGGTGGTTTGCGTCGCCGCTTGCGCTTCCTGCGTGGTGGTGCCATTGTTTTTTAAGCTAATCTGAGGGAGTGAGGAATGGATTCGAATCTGCAGATGCCATCTTGGGCGGATCTCTTCGACATAGCTGAGGGGAATCGTCTAGTGTACGTGGAGCCGGAACTTGTGGATGGAGGTCTTCGCATCCCAGCTGAATTGGAAGACGGAGGAATTGCACGATGGCAGAGCTGCTTGGTAGGGAAATTTATCTCTTCCTCTCCCCATGTTCGTCAAGTCCAGTCGTGGGCGAACCGACTCTGGGGGAAGAAGGGACAAATTAGGGTTTCGTGGATTGGCAAGCGACTGCTTCTTTTCTAATTTCTGAATCCAGAAACAACTCATTGGATTTTCTCGAGCGGGCCATGGCATATGAGGAACGATATGTGCTACTTGAGGAAATGAGAGCCAGCCATAAGAGCTGAGCAACCTCGAGCGACGATTCCTATTTGGGTACGTATTCTGGATCTACCACTTGAACATGTCACTGGGCGAATTCTTACGCGTCTTGCGAGTATGATAGGACGTCCTCTCTGGTTTGATAAGTATACTCGGATAGGGCAGAAAATAGGTTACCCTCGTGTTTGTGTGGAGATGGGGGTAAACTCGGTGTTCCCAGAGTCGCTGCGGCTTGTCCCTGATCGTCGTCCTGCTTATTCTGTTGGGTTAGAGTTTTGTAATAAGCCTGAGATATTGGAAAGTGTTGTAGATTTGGCCATAACTGTGAACAGGAGAACGAGAAAGCCCAGGAGGATGTCCTAGCTCAGGAGGTATTAGTAGATGCTGTGGAAGCTCAGGCCACTGGTAGTGCGAATGCAGTTGTTAAGAGTGAGGCAGAAGCAGTGAACGGGGAGTCAGAAAGTGATGTTATTGGGGCTAAGGAGTCTGAAGTTGGATCTGGAGTAGTACTATCTAAGGAATATGTTTCTGGGTTGTAGAGAGCTATGGAGAATCTGAATTCTTCACTGGCTGTAGGGACTCCTTGGAAGAGCAGTCTTCCTTCTGACAATGAGTTACAACAGGCAGTCTCTCCTCCAATGGCAATTCCTTTTTAGTTCTTTCATCTCTTGCACAGTTTGAAGTGGGAGAGATTGCAGTATCACCGCTTAAGGATTTGGCCCAATTTCGTGAACTGGGGAAATAAGGCCAAAACAAGAAAGGTAAACCAGGTCGGCCTCCGAAAGGGGCAAAAAATACAGTAAATTCATGAATCTTGTAGTGTGGAATTAGAGGGGTTTTAATAGCCCTGATAAACAGGATAATATAGTTGAATTGGTTCGTAGGTATAAGGTGGAGATGGTGGCGATCCTGGAGACTAGAGTTAGTTCAGATAAGGTGGAGAAAATAATTTGTGAGAAATTCCCAGGCTGGGAGTATAAAGATACTTACTCAGCTGCAGGAGTGGGCAGAATATGGGTAGTATGGAGGAACGAGACACAGTGTAGGGTGTTAGAAAGCAATGGTTTCTACGTCCATGGTTTAATTTATGGGAGAAGGCCTTCTCAGTTTACATTTGTCTATGGATCGAACGAGGTTGTGGAAAGACAACAAGTATATCTAGAGCTTAAAGAGAAGATTGATGCAACGATTCCTTGGATGGTGGCAGGGGATTTTAATGCAATTGTAGATGGAACTGAATCTTCTAACTCAGGTGGATTGGGGGAAAGTGCCCAACAATTCAAAGCATGGATAGATGATATGAAATTGATAGATCACAAGGTAATGGGGCCATGGTTTACCTGGTCAAACAAATAGTCAGCAAATCCAATAGCTAAACGATTGGATCGTGTACTAGTCTCAGAAGGTTGGTTGGAGGCTTTTCCTAGAAGCTCAGTCAAGATTCTGCTCCCGGGTCTATCAGATCATTGCAGTTTCCTCATTTACTTGGATTCACATACCCAAACTTTGCCTCGTCCGTTTAAGTACTTTCATTTCTGGAAACTGCATCCTGAGTATGACAATCTAGTGAAGAAGGGCTAGCTTTGCCCTATAATTGGCTCGGCTATGGCTAGAATGTATCAGCGCTTACGGAATATTAAAGCTCGGTTGAAAAGACTAAACAGGGAGTGCTACTCAGAAATACATGAAAAGGTGAAACAAGCAAAGGTTGAACTTGCAAAAGCTCAATCAGAAGTGATGGAGCGCCCTGCCTCGTCTTTCTTTCAGGCTGAACAGAGGTGTATGGTCCAGCTTCTGGAGCTTCAGCGTGTTGAGGAGTCCTTCCTAAAACAAAAGTCAAGACAACAATGGCTCAATGGTAGGGATTCCAATTCTAGGTTCTTTCATAGTGTTGTCAAAACAAGACAGTCCAAGAATACAATCAAGCAGTTGGTCACTGATTTAGGAGAGGTTTTGGAAGATATAAAGGAGATTGTTAGAGAGGCACTGCAGTTCTATAAGAATCTTTTGGGGACTCAGAACATGCAGCTGAAAAGAGTTACAGTGGAAACCTTAAGGCAACTACTGAAACTGCACTTGGGGGATGTTAGTGGAGACATGTCTTCTTTGGTTACAGTAGGAGAAATTAAGAAGGTAGTGATGAGCATGAAAAAGGGAAAGGCCCCAGAACCAGATGGATATCCAGCAGAATTCTTTCAAGAACACTGGGATCTGATAGGGGCAGAATTCACCAAGCTATTCAAGATTTCTTTGCAACTGGCACCATGAGAAGGGAAGTTAACTGCACCATCCTTGCCCTCATTCCTAAGGTACAAAATGCAAACTCAATGAAGAATTTCAGACCGGTTTCCTGCTGCAATTTTGTTTATAAATGCATATCTAAGATCCTAGCTGACAGACTTAAGCTAGTTTTGCCTGAGATAATAAGCCCCAATCAATCGGCTTTCATTAGAGGGCGTTTGATAACTGATAATATTGTTCTTGCGAACGAAATGGTGAAATGGTATAAGAGAAAGAACATCTCCCCCAGATGTGCTCTCAAGATAGATATAATGAAAGCTTTTGATAGTGTTGACTGGGATTATCTGTGTTGTGTTATGCTTGCTATGGGGATCCCAGCAAAGTTTGTTAATTGGGTGCAAGGTTGCTCGAATCTACTAGTTTTACTGTGTGTATTAATGGAAGGCTTACATGACAGTTTCAAGCAAAGAAAGGGCTGAGGCAGGGGTGCCCTTTATCCCCATACTTGTTTGCCCTTAGCATGGAAGTGTTAATCTGTATGCTAAATAGGACAGCAGATCGAAAAATCCTACCTTACCACCCTCAGTGCAGTCGTATCAGTCTCACACACTTGTGTTTTGCTGACGACTTACTGATTTTCAAAAAGGGGTTAGTAGAGGGATTAACAATTGTAGGTGAAATTCTTCAGAAGTTCTATCTAGTGTCAGGATTAAAGTGTAATCCGAGCAAAAGAGAAATCTTCAGTGCAGGGGTTTCAGAGGGGTTAAAGGAAGAGTTAGTGAGGAATTTAGGGTTCAAGGAAGGATATTTGCCATTAAATGCTAGCAAGCTTTCGTCAGAGGATTGCAAAGTGTTGATTGAAAAAATTATATGAAGGATACTTGGATGGCAGCCAAAACTATTAACCTACGCGGGGCAGCTAGAGCTGGTCGTATTAGTGTGGGCCAGTATGACCCAGTACTGGATGAATGTCATATTACTACCTAAGAAAGTTATAGAAGAAATTGAAAAGCTATGTTCCTAGTTCCTTTGGAGTGATTTTGAGAAGAAGAAGATCGCAAAAGTACAATGGTAGATAGTTGCTTTGCCTCGTGCAGAAGGAGGTATGGGGTTTAAAGACTTGTATTCCTGGAACAAAGCATGTTTGGACAGGCAATTTTGGGTACTACTTTCTGATCAGGAAACAATATGGATTGCATGGGTAAAGGAGTACAGGCTCTGTAATCTGAGCATCTGGGAAGTTAAAACAAAAGGGTCATGGGTATGAAATAAGATCCTCAAGTTGCGTGATAGCTTTGAGGGGAAACTTTGTAAAACGAATAGAAGAGTGGGATGGGAGGGAGAATTGATGACAAGGTTCCAGACCGTCATATATGGCAGAGTATTAGACCTCGAAGAACTCCTGTGGTGTGGTCCAAACTGTTTTGGAAAGGAGGCATTCCAAAGAGCTCAGTCATTGCTTGGATGATTTTGTTGGGGAAGATTAACACTCTGGATAAGATAATCAGTTGGAATCCAGAGGTTTGCAACACTTGCCCGCTGTGTCAACAGCTTCCTGAGACAAGAGATCATATTTTCTTTCAGTGTGTGTATGTACAGGAAGTGTGGAGGTCTTCTTTTCCAGCATCTTGGCAGGTTCCTCTACCTGCTACCCTGCAACAGGCTGTTGAATTTGCGATTCAGAAACTACAGAAGAGCTTAGCTGGGAGAGTCTTATGGTGTCTAGTGCTGAGCGAACTATGGCCGGAGAGATGTCGCAGGTTGTATGGGGGTAATCAGTTGGCAGCTGTAGGTTTGGTTGCTAAGGTGCAGGGAGTTACGAGAGCGAAGGCTGTTGGTGATCCAAAATTCGCTAAATCCCTGGATGTCCAGCAATTGCGATAGCAAGGAGGATCTAAAGGTGGTAGAAGGAAGCTGTAGGATTTGCCTCTTGTACTTTGGTTTACAGATTGTATAGATAAAAAAATTGTGCTTAGAGTTGTTGATTGTACAGATTGTATTGATTGTACATAGTGTACTGATGAAATAAAGCCACCCATTCATCAAAAAGAAATTTATGTGTTCGAAGAAGTATCATAGCATATAATACTCATAGAGCTCCGGTTTGTATTCATATTTAGATAAAAGGTTACATGTATTTAATTGTTATCTTTTTTTTTGTTAGTTCACACTGGAATAACTTGCGAAAGAATAATATGATTTGTAACCAAATTTGGTACATTTTCAGTTTCTACCATTCATGAAAAAATATCATGGGGTAAATAAAATTTATTAGTCAAAACTTTCAAACTTTCAACGTTATTAGACAAACCTTACGAAATAAAAAAAAATTATCCAAATTTGTTTGTAACGAATAAAAATATTTGCCATTTTTCTGTTACCGTTTGTAATTTTGTAATTCTTTTCTTAGTTAAAATACTAAAATTTTGGAATGTTTATCGGCACGCGTCTATTCCAATTCAGTATTATTCTGCCTAAACAATATTACTAACAAAATTGCTAAAAGAAAATTAAAATTTAGTTGATATTTTTTATTTTGCAAAGTGTGGCAATAATTTGAAAGTTTTATCCTCTTTCTGTTAAACTTAATCTTTAGTTAGTATCCATAAAAACTTACTGATATTTGTCAGAACCATCAAACAAACAAATATAATTTAATAATGGAAAAGGCGGGATCAAATTTTATTAACAAATTTTGTTTTTTAAGTCGGATGAAAAGAATTAAAGAATGGAGAGAAGATATGTTTTGCTATTTTGTACTGGCATCTATTTTACTTCCTGATTTTTTTTAATAATAATTATCACTTAAGCAAATGCTGGGCTTTCTAATTGCGCCCAACGAATATTAGTTGCCGACAGAAAAAGAAACGATGCGTATATTATGGGCGGGATTTAATAGATGGATATGTCTAATATACCGAAAATTAAGGGGGAAGGCAGGATTTTTTTGAATCCTGAAAATCTCATAAAACTCTACTATTATATTCTTTTGATATAGCACATAATATCTAGTAGACTAGTACAAGATATATAATGGTGGATTCAAACCATCTTTTTTGTTCCCTTTTAACTTCCAAGCAATAAGAATGAAAGTAGTAAACATACATTTATAATCACAATTATTTATTTCTTATTTACAATAAAATGTGTTAAGATCTGAACCTAAGTTTCTTCAGTCTGAAACAAGTAACATAACCAATTATACTCAACAAATTTGTTGTATTTTTTCTAAATTTTAAACATACAGAAGCAAAAATCTGAAAACTAGAAAAAAATTTCAACATGGTTAGCTAGCCCACTAAGTCCCCTTTAAGTATTAATTTGTTGGTTGATACTTTGATTTTTATTATTTTAATTGAAGTTTAATAATTAATTTAATTTTAGTTTATCTTATAACCAACATGTAGCTGAAGCATATGACAAGGAGATCCACCCTTTGACGGATCTCCAACTCGCCGCAGTTGGGGGTGAGAGGAATCGACGAATCTCCAATTCGGATCTCCAAGCGGGTTTGGTTCGGCTTCCACCGCCGAGCTTGTTGCCGAAAGAATCGACACCTCCCATCTCACCGTTCTTATCACTGGTATGTAAATAAGTAGCCCCACATTTGTGTTCTCTTCTATCTTCTCCCCCACCACTACTGCGTTTGTGTGTTTCTTGGTGAACTGAACATTAGATTATGGGGAAGGTCGATAGATTTTGGAATGTTTTTGGCTAAAGCCTACCAATTGACTTCAATGGTCGGCCGAATGGCTGGCTGGTGGAGCTCTCACTCCTCGCGGCCCATGCTTATCCTAGCTTCTCTCCGCCTCCTCGTCGGCAACCGGTACAGACGACATCGATTGGAGCTGGGAGCTCTACTAAGAAGACAAGGGTTAGAGATGCAGGGGGTATTTTGATTTTCGTTTAAATTTTCTAATTTTAACTTTTTCTTTTGTATTTTAATTGTTAATTTTAATTTAAAAATAAAAATCTGATGTGGCGGCTGACGTGGCGCATACGTGGCTGCCACATATGTGCCATGTAACCAACAATCAACTTTTTATGGTTGACCGTTTGGTCAATCGTTATCTATAACGGTCAACGAAATTGTCAGGACGAAAATAACATACAACTATCATGCGTCAGGACACAAATGTCATATTGAATACTTTAAGACACAAATGATACATTCTTAATAGTTCGGATTTCCTAGTGATATTAGCCCTATGGTGCCAAAATTATGCATGCTTGTTAGAATTTATATTTTAATGAAAAACATATTTTTTCTCAGTGAGTTGTTCAATTTTTTCTTATGCTTGATTAAAAAAATATTCATTTAATGCTCAATGTGGTGTGCATGGTCAAGATCATACCGGATCAGACAACACAGTCGAGGTCTGGACCGTGTAGTATTTGGTATAGTCCCTGGTCTATACTTCAGATTCTTGGTCTGGACCACATGCCATATACATTTTGCTATGTTTTATCAAACATAAGACTTCATACTAACATCATTCAATGTCATATGATGATATTACGATTATGGTTGAGTGATAATATCATGATATGACAGTGATAGGATGTCATCAAATTATTTTGTCAAATATAAGATCTCATACCAGTTATCAAACATAAGACCTCATACCAACATCATATCGGTGACATATCATGAAATTATCACTGTGATGATAATATCATAATATGACGGTGATATGTATATCATATCAACATTAAGATCTAAACAGTGATATCTATTTTGTTATGTTTTTTTTAAGCATAAGATCTCATACCAACATCATGTCATGATATTACCATTGTAACGTAGTTATAATATCATTTTATAGCATTGAAATGATGTCATCAAATTACTTTGTCAAACATAAGACTTCATACAAACAACATATCACTTCATACCAACATCATACGACCATCATGTCAATAAGATATCATACCATAGTTAGTGATAATATGGTGATATGATAGTAATATCATGACCTAATTTTTTTGTTCCAACAGTGTCAAAATGAATATCATCTTGTAGAGCACAAAATATATGATATTCCTATTCAATTTGTTTTGAAATCCAACATAAAATGAATGAGTTATGGTCTTTGAATTTTCTTGAGAAATTTGAAAAGTACTTTAACAGTGCTAGAGAATCCGCACACGTCACTTGCAAAATTCGGGCCACGGGCAGAAAAATCTGGTCAGTCCTTTCCTGTATCTCCGACTTTCCCTCTTTATCCCTACAAAAATGACCAATGGATCTATTCCCTCTCATTCTCAACCATCTATAAAGATTTTTGTATAACTACAAAACAAATGCATTTGTATCTTAACCGAACCTTTATAAAACTAAATTTTTATGAAGCAGTTCACCTAGTAAAAAAAATATTTGATATATTCAAACCAACAACTACACAAAAGCATGTTCATCCTTAATCAAATACTTTCACAATTCGGTGATCTGTGATTTTCCTTTAACTTTGATGGAGAATTTATCGGTTCTCTTCAATATTCATCAACAACTTTTACAAAAAAAGTCTTCATCAACAACACAACTAGAATTCAGGCCCGGCCCTGGGTTTGTGTTAGCAGGGCCCCCAGCACAGGGCCTTAGGAAAATAGGGGCCACAACTTGCTAACACTTATGAGCATCATGGGCTGTTGGATTGATATGGGCGTCTCAAAAAAATCCATCGGAATAAAAAAAACGTTTAACTACTTAATAAATGCATTTGAATGCTGCCAAGAGGAACAAACAGAGCACGTAAAAGTTTCCTTTTTGTGTGTGCAACTAGAAAAGGTTATTAATTTTTTCCCTGGTTATTGTTTAGCTCATTTTATTGCTCAACTTAGTGAAATGCCACCAAGGCTCTTGGAAAATACATGTACAGAGAGACTCTAATCTACTACTAATGAGCAACAACTTCTTAAGGAACACTTTATAAACTAGAAAAGCTAGAATTAGATAAAGCCAGAGCAAATTCTGGGTTCCCTAATCCATATTCTCCATATTCTGGGTTAGCAGTGTTAATAATTTCTAGCAATCTCTCGGGCATAAATATATGTGTTCATAATTATTTTTTAAACAACAGTAAAAATAAAAGATACCAGATGATTTAGGTGTTACCATCAATGTAATCAAAATCGCATTTTTAAATTTAAAAGCTTACTCTTTTATAATTCTAGGTTATCGAAACGCTTTTATTTAGAATTGCATCTTCACTTACAATTATAGTCAAAATCTACGCTTTAAAGCTTAAAAGCTTACATTTTTACGCTTCTAGATCACCAAAATGCTTCAACATAAAATCACGACTTTGACTACATTAGTACAATAATATCTTATTTGGAGCAATATCTTATTTGGAACAACAGTAACAAGAAAGATTATCAATTATTCCAAACAAATTTTTGTTATAAATAGTTAGCAACAACAATAATTATTATACTAAAAGCTTCAAATTCTATATCATCTTCTTCTAATATTTTTCTTGGCTTGTCAATTAACTACTTGTCAATTGAGTTATTGTTTAATTTCATTTCTTAAATTTTGTTTCGTTTCATTCATTATTTTTTATTTTATTTTGTTGAATTCATAAAAAAAAATTGGACCTCATTTTACTTCTAGAACAGGGCCTCCAAAATTATTGGGCCGGCCCTGCTAGAGTTTCAGAATCATTTTAGGTGGCAATTGATTAGGTATCAATTAATCCAACTAGCACCGGGCCCAGCTCTTGACCGGGAGAGTTTGATTATTTTATATTTTGATGTGTTGTTGTCATTTATAATATGTAATTTTTCGGTATAGATAAAAAATATATAGAAATGAATAAAAAATATAAACAACTAATAGCGATGTTTAGAAAGTAAATGGTGTCTATTTATTTTGCATTTCATGTAGGACAACAAGGGAGTTTTCTTCCATTACACACACAAAATCAATCTTAATCATAAAAGAAAATGATTGTCCATTCATGTAGTTTAATCA